TGAAAGCGAGGTAGTAGGATCAAAAATAATGAAGGAGGCATCTCGTGGCTCACCAAGGAAGCACTGAGATCACACCAGGAGACCTCCCTCCTGAGAGATGAGAGCCTTGGATACAAACTGTTTAAGGAGCACTGCTAACCGAAACGAGAGGAAGGATACCCAGGTCACGGTGTGCTGAGTGTGCACTGATGCCAGCGTGTGCAACTTCTGCGGTAAGCAGTTATAGCATTTTCTAAAAGTTATGAGAAGCACTTGTTTCACTACATATCTTCAAAGTTAAGCATCTAGAAACCTTGTGAAAAAACAAAGGATCGTTCCCTTGATTTAATTGCGATATGTGACTTTGGTAGGTGCTAGCTTTGCCTGAAAGGGTAAGAGCGTTGATCTTGGCAACGACTACTCCTGGAAACCACTTTGTAGACCTGATGAACGGTAAAATGCACCCATTTCCTTTGTTGGAAGGGATGCATGGTTCCTCGTGCTTCCCGCAAAAAGGCTTGGCCCGAGAAATGAGGCAGTCCATGAAAGAACTCCGTTTGACACAAGTGAAATGGAACTCGCTTCATTTTACTCATGTAAAGAGCCGTGCATGTAATTTCTCTCTTCATCGAAACTCTCCAATGGTGTTAAATTTGATAGTTCGGGGGAAACCAGTCTGGTCGGGTTTTCTGAGCCGTCAGTAAATGGCCTCGTTAGCACAAGAAAAGAACCAAGTGTGGGTGGGTCACTGCTTCACTACAGAAAAGTCCGGTGTAATAATAAAGTCAGAAGTTATAACGCTCACCTTCCAGCACAAGGAGCTAACACTATTAAGCAGTCCGAACAGTCGTCGACGGTTATAGTAGACGTGTGGTCGAGAACTAACAAGTTGCTATTCTGAAAGGTAACGATTTTGAAAATGTGTCACATCACAGTAAACTAACTTTTACTGATCTCGTGGGTTCTTCCAAAAGGTTTTAGTTGCGGCGAAAAAGGTCTCGCGCTTCGGTGTTCACAGCGTGGAAATCACCATCTTTAATCGAGCCCTTACGCCCTATGTTTGCCGGTCTTTGCGTTGGAATGCATACTTGATACGCATACGGAACGAGGATGCAGACTCTTTTCCTATCGTTCAGAGTTAGTCGCATACGCCGCGCGAGAAACGTCGCGCGCCCGCTCCATGCCACCACTGCTGTGGCTGGGATCATTTGGGTGACACTTCTATTGCGTTTAGTGGTTTTTAACTCACAATTTTGAATCTTGAGCTGAATCAGCTGTTTATCTGATGTATTATGCAACTAGTCGCATAAAGGAACGGCGACCGAGCGTCCGCAGATGATCGCCCGCTGCAGAACAGTTACAAAGCTGCAGGTAAGGTATCAAAGCTCCAAAGTAATTCATACCCTGTAACTTTTCAAATTCAAGGTAGTCACCACCTCCAGTTATTTCAGCAAAAAGAAATCTCTGGTAATCCATCTTAGGACCCGCTCGGATCGAAGTCAAAACATGCCGCTGTGAAATACCCCTAGCATAGCTTCACCCTTGAACATATACATACACATGCTCTCAACATTTTCATCTGACGATGGGTCTCTGGACTCTCCATAATTGAGAAAAAAGCTCTCTACGCCATTCGAGGCTGACTCCTCTAATATGAGTCTTCAATATCGATAACCCCTCATGAAACAGTCCAAATAGGCCTCCATCCAGCTCGGATTCATGCTCAACCCTGCTCACATAACGTCGTGTATATAGTAAACAGGAGCACTGGACAGTTTGGCTACAGTTTAGCTTGGTCTTGAGAAAAGGAAAGAATAGGAAGCGAAAGCAGATCCGTGAGGAAGTGTGGGATATAAAGAATACCTTGCAACTCTCTATAGCCATCGGCTGTCCGGCGGCTCCACGGCGGACTTCGGTTGTCCCATCTAGATCGTGTATCCGATATTTGTCCATGTCCATTTGTGGACGTCGCTCCCTGAAACCACTCCTTTCTATGGCGCCTATTTCGTACTATATCTTCCTGCGTAGGTAATATCAGAATTTTTCTAGTAGTAGTTTTATTTCTAAAAAAAGAACAAGACGAATGGCTTTACATAGTGTTTCGGGAAAATTCAATAAATTATCATGCTTAGCAGAGCATTGTACGAAGCAAGGTAGATTTTTTCAAGAGTTTCGGCCCAAAATCGGACAGCCTATGCTTTGGCGTGCACTGTGCAAAACTTTCACCAAAATACCAAGAAGTGTCTTACCAGGAAATGCTTGAACTTCCCATAGATCCTTGGAAGGACACATAGATGTATCGATAGACTCTTGAACGCTGGTTACAAATATGGACACTAAAACTGCTACGCGAACTTTCCAAGAGAGTTATGAGCTGTCAATGTTGGCAGAAAAACGCCACTGAGGCGAGCTCACCTAGTGTAACCACAGTCACCGGGCGCACCGCCAAAAATCAGTCTCATATTCGTACCCAGGGCACCCATTCACCCGTATAGAACAAGTTCTAAACAAAAAAGCAACCGCGTTTCCACATAGGTTGCACCTCATCATTAGTGTCCTTTTTCAACTTTAATCACAACTTCCATACAAAGTTCACGTAGAAGTTTTATCGTCCACATGTAATCAGCGTCCAAGACTCCATCGATGTACCTAGGTCTCCTTTTAAAGTCCCACGGGAAGTTCAAAACATTCCCTGGTTTGACACGGGCCCCACGGAGAGCAGCGGTCTGTGCTACTGCTAGCTCTATTGCACTGTTGCAACCCCAGAAGTGGTAAGATAGGACAATTCTTATTTGCTGACTGTCTTTGGTGGTTTTCGAGGCTATTTATCATGAATACAACATCATATTCAGCGCTGACGCTAAGTCATTTAACGCCAGTATGGGGCCACGGTTGTTCTCACGAATTCGAAGAGAGCGTGCGCATAATGGTGACTCGGTTCCTTTGCCCTGATCCCATTCACGAAGTTATTCCTGACTATGACATCCATTTTTGGCGCTCTGTTTGGCACCTTTTTCTGTTTGTCTACCATTTTTTGATCAGAGCGTGCATAGGTTCGAGCCTGAAGAGGGGAAAGGCTTCAGGAAATGTGAGGCTTCATTCTGTTCTCAACATGCTTTAAGATTAACTCCAATCACTGTGGGTTAACCTTGAAACAAGTTGAGATCACAGAATCCGTAATTTACCCACTCTGGAGCTTCTAAGGCCCAGACCCAAGTGCGGTCTCAGTAGTGAGAAGAGGCAGATGACCAGAAAAATGACGGTCCTAGCGTCAAACTGGATGTCATATTCGTGATTAGGGCACAGAATTATTCCTCTATGCGGTGAAGAAGAACAATGAGAACAAAGGTTACACCAGAATTGTGCACCATGGCGTATATGCTCCGATTTGGGATTAGCGCCGAAACTGAAGGTCATAGTGTTCGGTCCACGAGGAAAAGTTTAAGCGAAGAAAAATCCTGCTCAGCCGTCCCAGCGAAGTTGTAATAGCGCAATAGTCTTTCACTGACACTTCACTACGATACTAGAGTGCGCAAGGGGAATGTTCCGAAGAAAAAATTAAAGACTTGACTCTCATTAACACATTGGCGACCAAGCAGTTTTTGGGTGTTCCCGAAAATTGCGTCCTAATGCTGAAACGCTTCCATACGGTGTACATACCAAATCAATGAGAACACAATGCGGAAACTGCTGAAACATCATTTGTCTCGTACAAATGCTTAATGGCTGCAAACCAAGCAAAAATCTCCCCGTCCCGCAAAGGTGAAACTTCGGAACGCTCTCGGAAAATTCCAATTTTCCACTGTAGAATCCACAAATGAGGTTGAACACAAATCTCTTTTTTGCCAATTGTTGTATCATTGAGCTAGCTAATAGCATACAAAAAGGCAGCTTTCTACATCAAGAAAGAACAACCTTATCACTGAAGAAGCAATTCCAAGCAACCCTTCTGTAAAACTTTCACTGTGAAAGATGTTCAAAGAACGTGGCCATTACAAGTTTGACAACGTATTCCGGGTTAATATAGCACCGCTCAAAATTTGGAATATGCGCAAAGGAATAAAATTCAAGGGGTGTCGCCCGGCATC